AGCTTGTAGTTGGACTGAGAAGTCCTTTAACGCCAAGTAAAAATAAGACTAGATGTCCTATGTGAGAAGACAGTGGGAGCAGGGAGGAAAAAGATGTTTGCTTAGTTGAAATAAAGTTCATAGCACACAATTACATAGCACCCTGCAATCTAAGAATGTAACGTCTTTCATAAGCAACTAATCAGGCATCGCAACGCCTATAAGGCAAAGGGGTTAAGTGGACATGGCCAGTCTCAATATCCTGACACTCAGCCAAAGTGCAGCTATTTGGTCATTTTTAAGAGAAGAGTTTTTGGTGTTAGAATGTAATTAAACAAGAGAACTAGTTTAAACCAGTTTTTGTTTACAAAGTTGAAAACAAGTGGACTGTTTCATTTCTGCAAATGGTTTAGTTCAAGTTGTCGGGATGTTTAAAAAAACTCTGAGATCAGGTTAATGTTGTTGAGTACATGATTCATAAGAATTATGTGAAGGGGAGAAGAGAGGAAACTGTCACTTTCACTGCGCTTGGATGCTAGCCCTAAAATAAGCTTCTTGAAACAGTTCATCAAAGGAATTTCAATGACAAAGCCAACCTTTATCCCTTCAGAGAGGACTTCAAACTTCCTTTTATAGCACAGAGATTACTAACTTTGGCCAAACCTAGATAACATTAAAGCCACTATCACTTCAGTGAGATACTATAAATAGAAATAGTGATGTAAAACATTTAAAATTCTGCCTAGGAAGCATGATAGATAAACAATATTATCTATGCGTATTTTAGGGTATATCTATCAGACACAATCTCATTCATGATAACATGAACCGATTTAGTTACATAATTAACCTTGCTGTTTACCTAAAATTACTTGCATAGTCTTGGGAACTCCTTTCCTGATTGCATTTGACAATAGACTTTATATTTAACACACACGTATGTGGGAAAGGTCAAATCACGCTCTGAGGTTCTGGATTTGTCAAAGTTCCTTCTCATTCAATAAATCCGGAAGAGAAAGGGTTTCCTCCTCTGTTAAAAGGTTCTGTTCATTTGCATGAAAAAAGAGCATATTAACCCCAAACCTCTGCATCTTAGTTTCATCACCATCCTAAATACTTCAGAAGAACATAATCCTGAAAAAAATTCTGCTGCCAAAAATTGACAGGAAATTATATTTTCATTGTGGATAAATTAGTCTCCAAACTTTACTTTCCATAACAATAAGCAGGAGATTATGAACTCATTCACAGGAAGTCCTGATAAGACTCTAAAAAGATTTGCTTTTACCCATTCAGGTCAGAAAGACCACTGTATTTTGCCTAAAAACATCATTTTTCCCCAAGAGACATAGCCCACCCTCTAAGAGTAAGCAATATCATGGCAGAACCACCATGGATATGGATGTGTTTTACAGATCTACTACTGGCACCTGAGCAAGATGTCTTTTCTACATAGGTTTTAAAATGACTTTTTTTTCTTAAAGAAAAAGAAAGAAAAAAGAAAGAAAGAAAAAAGTAGCATGCAATCCTTTTCATAAAACAAAAAAAGAAGCATGTAACCTAGTATCTGAAACTAAGCATATCACAGCAGAACTGGTCATTTAAAGACTTCTCATTCTAGAACAGGAAAATAAACAAAACCAAAACAGACAGTAATTTTACATAATTTCAGAGTAACATCTTCTGCTGGTAGAGTCGTTTGGGTTTGTTTTTTAATTAAAATTAGAGACGGTCCCAAAAGCCCAGACCCAATCATCCCTGAAAATTAGAATATTTAATCTTTGTGGAACAGAGTTTAGTAAACCACTTCTCCTGCATAAAATGTCAAACCAGGCAAAGTGCAATAGGCTCTGCTTGCTTCTGTGCCTCCCAAGCTCAAAGGGTCAAAGTTAAACCTGGCTGGATGGAAACCTTCAGTGTCAGTGAGGCTCATCATTTCCACAACGACTGTGAAATCAGTGAGCAACCTCACCCTGAAGATCCAGTAGAGGTGAATATCTCAGGCTCCAGGCACCACAATAGCAGTCAAACTTGTAAGTCAATGGCTAATGAAAATTCGCATCCATTATACTTTCATTTACAGTTCGCCTTTTTAACTAATCGGGGAGAGCGGGAGAAGAGAATCGCTGGATACAGCTGATGGAGGAGGGAAACCTGCACCTCTGTGCAGACACAGAGACCTTCCCACTTCTACGAACTGCGACGGAAATGCTCCTGGCCATAAATCATCAACAGGAAGCCAGATTCAATGGCTGGGCACAGCACCCTTGCACTGACTTCACATACTTCTCTATTGCCTTGACACAATAACCTTTAGCTCATAAAAACCTAGATCTTGTGCCATTCTTGAAGAGTGACAAAAACAAAACAAAATTGCTCAGTGCACTCACATCACAAAAGCTTTCCCTTGAGCATTTCCCCATGAAAGGTACAGAGCATCTTGCTTTTATTCAGCCAATTCATTAATCCACATCATTGAGATGCTACCCCCTACCACCAGTGTGCTTCTGTGTGCACGTAAATGCTTCAAAATCATCTGCAGCCATACCCACTTGAGGTGGTTTCAGTGCACCCAGGCAAGAGCAAAGGCTCTAGGCTGAACTCCTAGCGTGAAATGAGTCATTTGTTCCAAATCATGTTTCCTTTTTTCAATATTCGTACTTAGTTATTCATTTCCCTAAAGTACATGAAAATGAGATGTTCCTAAGCTACCTTCTATTTGCTCTCAGTACATATACTATTTTATTCCTATTCCTTATTTCCCTCTTCCAGCCTTTTTCATGATCTCAGTGGGCTTTGTTTTAGGACCTTGTAGACACAGACAAGAAAGTCTATATTTGAGGAAGATATCATTTAAATTGTTTCCCCTTGCAAGATCTTTTGAGACCTCAGCCTCCCTTTGCACTGGAGACAGTCAGTAACTGCAAGAGCTTGATTCTTAAACACTCAGCACCAAGAGGAACAAAGTTAAAATTACTTTTAGGCTGCAGAAGATAATCCATTACGGAAGCAAGATGTAAAAATAAAACATTTGCAAGCTTCCTCTTAGCTATTCTTCAAGACAGTCCAAGGAACTGATTGGTGCATATACTCATTTTTGTATACATGTTTCACCTTTCATGTTACTTCACAGTCACAACTGAAAATCATAGCAAGCTGGTTTCTCTTTCTATACTTTGGGTTATGTGTTATTTTTTGTTGTATCGTTTGAGATCTTCACAGCTCCATATCGGCCCTTATCTTTGGGCTGTTTTTTCCAATCAAAATCATTCATTTGAAAATTTAGTTTATTTTTGCTTATTTAGTTTTTCTTTATTTAGTGATACAGGTAAAATTTCAAATAAGTATCATGCTGAAGAGATAATCACCCTTGCTAAGATCTGACTGTACTGAACAACTTTCAAACCTGCCAGTAAGGACATATGGAAATTGATGTGAAAAGAATTGCATTCTGTTTAAATGTGAAGTTGACCTTAGAGTACTGGAAAAAAGCAATTTCTCTATTAAGAAAATTCACAAGTGGCATCTATCACAAGAAATTTACACACCTTTTTGAACAAGCTCCATGCCGTTACGGAAAAACTAAATGTAAGGACACAAAACCTCATCTAATCTACTGTAGCACATACTCTGCTGAGAGCACTCTGTGTGGCCTCTTCCCCTCTCCTTATCACCATATGTATATTATTTATTTTTCATCACTGAACCGATACTGTCTTTGATATCTGATGATGTTTTATCTTCAGTATATATGGAACTTTATCTGTTTACTGAGCCTAAGCCAATAATATGTAGGGCTGAACTGAACTCCATCAAAGCAAGCACACAGACTTGCCCTGATTTCAGTGACTTTTGTATCAGTCTCTACATTCAACAGTGAGCAACCTCCTCCCAATTTCTGCTTGCACATTACCTCTTTTTGCTAACCTCAACGCCTAGGAAAAGTCTTCAAATGCTTCAGAATTTTATGCGAACTTCAGCACATCAACTGTTGGAGATTTTACAGCGTGCAGCGTATTAGAGATGTAAGAAATCCCCTTTTATTTGCTGAGCACCAAGTATGAGAAAATATAAGCCACTAACATACTTAAAGCTACATAGGAGAGAAAGCTATGCAAGCGATGTACAGGAAAAACTCCTATTGGAAGGGGAGATGGAGAGGTGAACAAAGGAAGCTCTCTGTCCCTGGTGCCTGTGTCTCAGCAGAAGTATTTATAGACTGACAGAGCTGTTACACAGTTCCAGGACCTGGCTTAGCAGAAACATAAGTGATCCCCAAAGAGATCAGGTACAACAGCAGAAGTAAAATGCATCACAATTAAGTTAAACCAAACTTTGTAACTGTAGGCCCATAAAGATATTAAGCAACTCAAGTACTACCTCATTGACTCTTCCCTGGTGATGTTCAGAAGCTCATGGGGCTGGACTACCCCAACAACAAGGACTGGGTTTGATTTTGCATGACCTGTCAGAGATTGACTATCAATTTCTCCTGCTCACCCAGGTAGACCAAGAAGCAACATATTGCTGGGTGACTGAGCAGGTGTCAAGGGCTGTCACTAATGGACCTCCTGCTTGTAATTCAGCACTGGCAGAGAACACTCCAGGTGATCTTAACTTGAGCTGGGCTCTACAATTCACCCCATGGAAAGTGTTACCAATCTTGAACTTGCATGCCATCGTGGCTTATCAGAAGAGTGCTTGTAACTCCAAAAAATAACTAATCCAAATACACCACCTTCTCAAAACTACTGAGACTCACTCCAGGAAAGGAAGGGGGGAAAAATAATCTAAGGAAAGGTATCAGTTTAAGTCTCTTCTCAAAGGAAGATGTTGCAGGAATGGGGCAATACTCCTCCCAATATATAAACAAACTGTCAAAAGTCAACTCTTGACACTTGAGAGTCTTTGCATTTACTTTGGATTATGTGTCACTGTCATCTTCGTCCCTGGGTGTTAACTGCCACGCACTGAGAAGATCCGTCCTCCCCAGCAGCTGGGAGATGGGCTGTTGTTCTTACCTGACATTGTCATGCTTCTGGATGTAGATCTTATGAAACATCATATCTTCCTGTTTGGCATTAATGTCAGCTTTCATCTCCATGGCAACATGTCGAGGAAGTACAGAGAGCAGGAGACGCTCCTGTGGAGTCAGACAGATGAACCAATTAAAATACCTGCTGCCCAGTTAACAAACACACTTTGTTCCTTACTGGGGAGAAATGAGTCATCAGTTTGGTGAGAGATGAGTACAACCAAGTGAAATGGTCTCCATAAACTCAGCAGCTCATCCCTTAACAAGTCATACGCAATTCTGTCCCAACCCCACAATAAGACTTTCAATGATTTTAGAAGAAAAAATATGATGTTTCATCCCAGCTGCACTGGGCTTGTGATTCATGGTTGCCAATTCCTGCAAATGAAAGAGCCATGCAACTCAAAAAGTGTCCATGCACCATTCTTGAAAGGATTCCGATAAACGATACTGTCTGACCTCCCACACAGCCTTTCCACACCACCACGAAGCTCCCTTTCACTTAACACCAGAGGGCTGATACCTCAACACCCTTGGCGATTCAGAATTCCTTCCTTTCTTATCCAATCATCTAAACAAGCACAAACCTGTTCTTTGCAGCTAAAAAGCATGAAAAGCTAGGCCAACTCTACAATGCAGTATCATACTTCTACAATCAAAACCACTACTAGTGCCCAGTTGCATTAAGACCTGTAAACCCACTCAATCACCTACAATAGTGTTTTCAATAATCGCCTCTGTCATCAACAATTCCCAGCTCTCCACCCTCACCTGGCACTTTTATTTATCGATAATAGTTTTAGTGTGACTTTTCATAACATTACTTTGTAAGCTGTTCTGTATACAGTTTTGCACGCTAGGCAAAAATTAGTTACATGACAAAATGACGGCTTTCTGGTAATTTTCCTAAAAACTCACACAAAAGCCTGTTGTTGTTACTCTAGATTTGGTGGCAATTTCATACAGAAGCTACAGAGTTTAAATCTGCAGGCAATATTTGCCCCAGGGATGCATTTGTATATTTCGGGAATCACACCTGAGAAATTCTGCCCAGACCTTTATTTTATCCCCACTCACATCCCACACAGTTCAAAAGAAGTTTTTGCTCTGACTGGAGAAGGTGAAGAGCATCTCCTTTCGGATCAGCTCCGCTGCAGTCCAACCCGCAGGCAGTGCTCTGGAATAGCTGAAGAACCCCAAAAGCTTGTGCCACTCTTGTCTTTATTTTTCCTTACCTGCAGTGAGCAGAGGGAAGAAAAGGGCCTTCCTTCCTGACGACACAGACATAATGTGGCATAAACGAAGGTCCCTAACCTCATCTAACAGCTCATTAATTCTCAACAACGCAGGGAACAGTAGGGCTCAAATGCAGTCCTGACTCAGAGGGGTCAGCAATCCTGTACCAATTACTCACGTCACCAAACCTCTTGCCCATACTGCAGTTATAGGAACATTCCTGGCTTCTAATTCCTAGCTTTAACTGAAAGTTCCCCATTTATTTCTTCCTCTAATGGGAGAGAGGAACTTTGGGGGAACCAGAGGAAGATAAATTCACTGGAAATGTGCTCAGCATGCACTGAGACATTCCATAGTCTGTGGCACTGTCCAGTATTTCCATTTTTCCCCCCTTCAATATGTACCTTAAAGAGATTGATTCTTGCCACCAGTCTCTGAAAATGTAGTAATAACACAGAAGATGTGTTAGAGGGTTTTCTATCTCCTCTGCTCAAAATTGCAGCAGCCCTGACAAGATATTTGTTTTTTAAAGTACTCTCACCTTTACTAGAGTACTGCAGGTGCTAACAGTTACAAATCCCCTTTTTTTTTCTTTTTAAAAAAATGACAAATCATGTACATGTCCTCAGGCTTCTGTCGGCTCTTGGCATACTCCCGGAGTGCAAAAGCACAACACATTTGTATGCTTTCCAGAGTAACTGGTGTATACGCTGTTGTCATTTGCATATTATAATAGGCAACCTCAAATGTGTGAAAGCTGCAATTTTACATGTGATTTTACACATCCTGTAAATAACTTGGAGCTTATTGGGAGGTTCAGAGGCGCCCACAAGTTTGGAACATTCCCTGTAGGCGCACAAGTATGGAGGAATGTTTTTGTCTTTTTTTTTTTTTAAACTTGCTTGCAAAATAGGGACATATTCAGGGGACTGAGATTCTCTAATGAGTACTCCAAGAGATTTTCAGAGACATTTCTGGGCAACTTTTGCTTGAGAGCCCCCACCCCTACTGTTCCTTACACCATAGGCAGCTGCCAGATTAAATCACCAATATTTTCAAGACACTTGAGCTCTGCAGGAGATGAACTAACACTGTTCTGAACTTCACCAATCGGTGAATAAGATAGGCCTATCAAATGAAACAAATGCATGTAGCACAACATCCCTTCCCACAGCAACTAATCAGGAAGTTGAGATGCATTACAGAGTTGGGCACTATATTCTCTTTGTTGGGAGCACCATGATCACCGAAAACATCCTCTGAAGCTAACAGGAGGAGGAGGAGGAGGTACCAAGTGCCTTTGTAAAGCACAAGCCATGTTAAAAGACTTTCAAAACAACAAAATCCATACATTTTATTTCAAATGGAACACAGAAATTATAGTCTCCAACTAGGGTACAATTTTCATTTTGCTATAATGACTCAAAAGTATTGCAGCCCTCACTGTAAAATCGCTTATTATGCACCAGTGAGGTGACTGGGACTGCTGTTTTACAAGTATAACAAGACAGCATTCTGACCTGATAAAAAAAAAAAACAAGAGCAAATTTGTATATAATTCTCACTTCAGAATAAGATGCAAGTATAGTTCCACTGAATTATACATTAAACAAATGCCTTCCAAGGAGAAGTAGTCTCTAGAATAGGCATAGATGAAAGAGTACAATGCATATCTGCTCTGTTTACATATGTACACAGATATATGTATACGTGGGCACACACATCTCTATGATGACTCTGTACTACATAGGAATTTTAACTATTTATGTCATACTCTCCCAAGATGACCTCAAAGCACTACAGATATTTAATACTCTATGACCACATATTTGTCCTCAGGTTTAATAACTTAGATTTTTCACCACAAGCTAAGTGATGCAGAGACGAGAAAGAATAGGAGAGAACAGCTTTTCAGAGACAAACAACAAGCAATACTAGAGGTGGAACTGCAGTCCTGGTAAAGCATCTCTTACTCAGATCTTAAGTATTTGCCCATTACAGATGGTGAAGAGTACCTATTTTTCCCATCCATGAATGTTTTATTCTCGACAAGCAACAGTGATTCTTGTTATAGCTCTGCCCTAGTGTCCTGGGTTTGAGCTAAAACCCAGTCCTATTTAATGATTTTTACTTTTCAGTTTTAGTTTCTTCTAAAAGGCTGCACTTTCTGAAGTTAGCAGCATGTTTTTGTAGACAGTGCTTGCCACTAGCAGTGATAACACCTGATGTTTACAGTTACTGCCTGGGACTGGCATGCAGACAGGCTCTTGCTTATACTTATTCCTACAGTGACCAAGGCCACTGCTGGCTCTTGTGTGCCACGCTGGGGGTGCTGGCTAGTAAAGGGGGGTCACAAGGAAGTAAAAGGTTGCATGTCCGAGGGGTAATAGACAGGACAGGTGACCAACGAGAGTATTCCATCCCATATACGTCATATTTAGAATAAATTGAGTGATCACGAGAGTTTCTTCTCCTTCTTTGCCCTCTTCTGCAATGGTCGGCGTCCAGAGAGGACTCCATCTGACCTCCTGCTTTTGATCCGGATCCTGAGTTCCCAAATCCAGCTCCCTGTATCCATCTCCCTGTCGCCGCCGCTGAGCCTGGGGTTTCCCCAGTGCCTCCTGCTCTGCAGCATCAGTGGTGATTGCTATTCGGGGGAGGGAGTCGGGTTTGATATCGGGCTATTATCTATAGTTGTATATAGTTCTTTACTTTTATCATTCCACTATTATTTTCTATTATTATTGTTTCATTAAAGCTGTAGTAGTTTTTTTTTTTCTTCTCTAACCCGAAAGTCTCTCTGCTTCATTCCCTATTCCTTCCCATTTGGGGGGGGGAAGAGGGGGTTGGAGAGCGTCTGTCCGTGTTAGAGGCCGGCCCAGCCCTAACCCACGACACCTAGGTTATCTCAGATAATGAAATCACAAGAAGTCTCTCTTTTGCACTAAGCATTCTGAAATTTTACTTACTTTCTTGCTAATTTTGGGTGCCGGTTGATGCTTAATAAAGGCAAATACACACTCCTTTGCTGAAGATAATGTCCTTGCCTTTAATAGAGGACAGCACACAGGAACACCATCAGATCTCCAGAAACAGGCAAGCAATGATAACAGGACGGGGCTGTGCACTTGTCTTTCCCTTTCCCTTTGGAGACTGCCTCTCACAGACACAAGCTGAGCTGCCCTTATTTATGTCTGCTGTCACCTCAGTATTATCTCAGTGCATTATGCATAGGGATGCTTCTGAACTGGACCTGGAGATCAATGTCAGTGCAGGCTGTAGCAGCAAATAATCTTATTAGGTGTCCCCAGCTGCCAGGACCCACAGTCACTGCTGGAAATACTAGAGGGTACTTCCAAGTAACTGCCTTTGATCCATGTTTTTCTGATGTCCTGGCTTTCTTCTGTATGGTTATAGTATTTTCTGGGGAGGGAGAGAAGAAAAAGGTATAAAGCTAAGGTATTTGTCAGGGCTTTTTTCATGAACAGCTTCTGACATGGAAGCTCCTGAATCCCGAACAGCAAGTCTGAGCCATGCTGCCACGGCAGTCTCTCAGCAGGGAGGACAGGGCCGTAATCAATAAGCAAAATGAGGCTCTCCTCTAGCTCAGTCCTTTCCTCCATTTTGAGCTGTGGAAGGAGGAATGGCTGCTCATTTAATCTTTCTGAGACTACATTCATTACACAGGAAAAAGCAGCCTTGAGCATGAATCTTGTTTTCGTACATATGCTATCAAAATAAAGAATGTGTGCACGTTATTTCACAGTAAGGGTTAATCAGCAAGTGTGTCAGCCAGAAGTACCTCCTGAAATGCTGCCAAAAGACAAATCCATAGATGCAGGGTGGACTGAGACATGAGGGAAAATGAAACTATTGCAAAGACATTTCAATTGATTCACTCCCCTGACCTCTTTCCCAAATCCACAACCAAGCTCTGAGATACCCTCCAAGGAAACGTTTCATGACTCATTTCAAACTGGACTGGACAGACCACTATAAGATGCACTGCAATGCAGAGATGTGTGTTAGCAAGGGAAGAGTCAAGCTGCCTCCAAAGGTCTTTTGTATCTAATATTGAGGACACATGAGATTCATTGCAAGAGAACCGCTGGATGAATTACAGGGGCGGATACATTTGGTACCCTTGACGACTAGGCTGGATGCTGGCAGCAACAGGTCTTTTCACAGCAAAAAAATAATCAAACTTGGTGTTAAAAATCTTACTTTTTGAACAAATACAATTCACTTGAGACCTTTAAGGTATACAGAGATGTGCAAGCTGGTAGGAACTTTGGGGAAAGGAAGGAAGATGAACTACTTTGAAGGTATCAAGGGACAGTGTGTTCCGTGGACCAACTTTTATCTTTCATTTCTAAACTTGTCTAAGAGCTACTTGTTGGTAGTAGCTTTGCCAAGAAACATGCCACACTTTGACCTTACAAAGAGGGTCAGTCTGAAGTCCGTGTGTTGCATCTGCATTCAACACATGGCTTCATTGACTGGTGCAAAAAAACTATGCAGACTCTGTATGTACTTGTCATTTTAATCTGCAGAGCATAAACCACAGGATTTGTTGATGTTTGTGGAGAAGTCCATCAGGGTATCAGGGAAGAAATACTCCCCTGCACTCTCTTTCAAACCTTTAAAAATCCTGCCCTCTACCATCAGTCTGTTCTTGCTTGGATTAGTCAAGAAGCAAGAGCCCTGCAAACCTCATCCTACAGGAACAATATGCATGCTAATTCTGCTTTAGCAATTTTATTTCTTCTCACAATTGTTCTTACCTGCTGTTGGTTTTCCCTTTGAGAATGCAGCCTGGCTTGTATGCATTCCCTCGTCTCCTGGAAAGCCTGTCTTTGGGACACTTCTGCTGGGTAGTGGGTACACACGCCTACAATGTTTGTACAGGAGAAGATGAGAACATTGGAGACCAGCTGCAACAAAAGAAGGAAAAAAAAAAGAGAAAAATACTTGGTTATACTTTGGGATCCTGCCATCAGTAACAAAGCACCAGCCAGAATCCAGCCCCTTCCACAACTCCTTAATCCAAGCCACACTTAAATCTCAGGCTCTTAAATCCAGTGTGTTTTACCTCTCTAGTCTTTAAAATACAACACTTCCACATATGGCCTCAAATATATGTTCTTAATGCAGTGTATTACTTCACTGGTAAAAAATACAATTCCTCTGTTAATTCTGTAATCTTGCTTTTGGAAACCCAGTATTTTGGAACTATTGTGTCAAAAATCTGTCTAAAAAGGCATCATTGCTCTGTCAGTTAAGACTCATGCAGACAGATCTGAGAGGAACACAAATATGTCCATGTTTGTGTACCTACACATTTGGCTTGAAAACATATCAAAGATACATTAAATCATTATTCTGAAGTAGTATTTAAAATACTGAAGGGAAAATGTTGGTATTCATAAGGTTTAAAAGCAACTAAATTTTTTTTTCTAATCTAGTTCCAACTCAAAATTTTACATTACTAGATTAAAAAAATACATTTTTTACATGTCTGCATACATGACTGCAGAAAGGGTTGTTAAGTCTGAAGCATATTTGGACTGGACAAACATGAAGGAAAAGCTACATCACTCTTCTGCTTCCATGTGAGTTATGTTTTGTAAGTAAGCAATCACATAACTTTTGCTGAAAACTACTGTTGCAATCTTTTGTTTCCCAACTACATCTTAATAAAAAGGAAAAAAAAAAAAAGAAATCCATGCCTATTGGTGGAATTTGGTTCATGCAAAATATTCAAAATCGACTCTGATGGCATCATGTAAGTATTTCCATTGACAGAGGTGAGTCACAGCATAACTTTTTGAGAGTTGCGCAAGCTGTACGGGATTTCTCTTCAAGGACAAACTTATTTGAGACACCTCGCGTCTCCTCTAGAGGAAAGACTGCTTGGACTGCAAGGTTCTTAAAAATAGAGATCTTTGGTCTATTCCCTAGTGAGTCCGAATACATCCTTTGTAATTTCCAGACCAGTCCATTCCCTGAAAACATAGAGCCAGGTTCTAAAGGGCAGGAGGAGCGTGGGGCACCCCTCAAGTCCCCAGGTTCACAGGCATTGCTCAGGACCCCCCAAAACCACCCTGGTCACTGTGCAGAAGAGAGGAGATGCCCCCACACCAACCAGGGACCCACATCCCAAACACTAAAATCTCTCTAAGAAATCCCACTGGGATTACTCTAAATCTTTGACTACATCCACATGCTAAGGACAGTAACAACTATTTTATTAACAATTCTGCCTTGAAACTGGATTTAGGCAGAAAACCCTCATCTTTCAGCTCAAAATAAGCAATACCTTAAGCTACAGCCAGCTGAGAGACTTCTCTCTGTAGACAGCTGTCAGTAGATAGCAACACTTCAACTTCCCAAGCTCCTGCATGAGTGCTGCATTTTGGGTTATGTCCCCTGGGCGAGTTCCCACACTTAAGTATCACACTACAGTACAATAACCTGCAGGTTATAGACACCCACTGCTTATGATCATCAATGGCAGCTATATGTATTTGCTGATAACTGGTTTCCAAGAGGGAAACTATTCTTATCCCCTACAGATTGCTCCCTCCATCCAAAGAGTCCACGCTTTGGACAGAGATGGTTATCAAAGACACAAATAGGGTTATCATACACATGAACATGAACTCACACTGACCCTGAGCTCACACGTTCCCTTTACAATTATACTCTCATTCGATTCTTTCTAAGGCTGGATGGATCCTGCCAGATCCCAGGTCCTCCATCTCTCCCCCAAGCTGATCAGACACCAGCCAACTTCCACCCAGACCCTGTCCAACCCAGTGGTGCATCCAGTGGGCATTTTATGGTATTTTTTTTGCTGATAATGGTGATTTTTAAGGAGGAAAAATCTCCCCATAACATAAAAGAATACTAGTGCTTATTATAACGATGGAACAGCTCAAAAAGAGAGCAGAAATATAGTTTTCCTAGGATTTACTATGATTCCTGCTCTATAGCTTCACCAGTTGTGACTCACAGCCTGTAAACAACACTTCTACAAGTTCAATTCAGTTACTATAGGCTCAAAGGGGTTAACACTAAATAGCATCTTTTATATGGCTGGATTACAGTAAGACTCCCAAATTCTCTCTATTGGAGCTATTCAGATATGTGGTAAGTGGAAAATTTGTCAGGGCATACAACAGCATATATATACATATATACACATTATATATCTGAAACAGAGATAAAATTGAGAGCATGGAAGATTTTAAGGAAATAGGCAGTCGTGCCTTTTAATCCGACGAATCTGAGACTTCATTTCACTTATAGTCAGTTAAGCACAAAGCCAGAACAAACTCCCCAAAACAATGACTCAGCTCTTGCACCAAGAACAGGAGACAACATGTGGTTTAGATGGCTGGCAACACATCAGGAGTTAACTGAGCACAAACCAGGAATTCCTTGGTCCTGAAAACAAGCTCTTTTGGGGTATATCTCAGTGCCAACAAAAGGTCCTCCTAGTGGGGCCCACCCATTGTTGTAACAATGCCTGAAAGCTGCACGGTTCAAGGCATACTATGCATCAAGACCAACATTGTCAACGGGAAGTACAAAAAACATCATCAGACTTGACATCATTGATAACGTTTGTGGAACATAAAGCACTCTAACTTTTCAGCATTCATTGATGTCATTCTACACAAACCCAAGGGACTTCGCAGACTGATTTACAAGACTGACTCAGATGACCACGCTCTATCAAGCGGGAACAAAAAACTACACTGTAGTGTAATTTTTTAGTAGCAAGGGACAGACATTCGTTTTTATTCTGTTAAGCAGAAGCTCATTTAATTCACAGTATGGCATCTTTGCAATACCCTGAAACATAAGGGGAGAAATCACAATGTAATGTTGAAAGCATCAAAGATCTGCAGAGATTTAAAACTGAAGTTCCTACTATCTGCAACAACACTTGTTATGTGAGCAAGAGCATTTTGTTCACTATCTGTTCACAATTATTTTCTTCACAGTGCTTTAAAATACTATAAAGGAAAATAAAAAAAGGGAAAAAGACTTTGTAGTATCATTGTTTTTTTTCACAGTTCTCTGTCTTAATAAAATAAATTTATATCCTGTTTGCCAAATGGTACTACTTGCTTATCAGCTTCCTTGCCATTTTGCTATGGTAACCAGCTCCAGACCCAGGAGGAAAGAGATGATGTAGATATTAAAAAAAAATATTTCCTAAGCTTTATGGCCTGAAAGTAAAAAAATATTATGGCAACTATTTTAGACAATCTGTACTTGAAGAACTGATCAAGACAATAGGAAAATATATTTGCTGGTTTTGTAGGTGATTTCCTTCCCCTGCCTAGCTTGAGATTTAGAATAAGAAGATTTCTACCCTTCTGATTTTGGAAACTAATAGTTTATAAAAGACTATTTCACTTATATATAACTCCTAGGTATTAAACCTACCTGCAGTATTGCTATATTTGAGTGTTTCATAAAGCAATACATCTACTCTCACAGCATTTGCATGTGGCAAAGAAGTGCTATTATCCTGATGTTACCAAGGCAGAGTTCTTCAAAGGTAATTCAATATCCAAGAAAAAACTATGTACTATGAGAGTTTTTTTTGAAAACCACCATGATTTCTTAGTTCTGCTGAAATAATAGATCACTCAATCTCAAACAAAACAGACCAGACAGTTTCTAGTCACTTTGATTCATCGCACAAACAGAGCACTGCAATGCTTTTGTTGAATCTCTCGCAGGAAACTGTTTTCAATATTTTTTCCCTTGGTGACTGAAGGAGAAAAAGAGAGATGGAAACAGTTTAGTTCCACGTGTTCTAGGAGTTATGAAAACCTGGTATTACAAAATCAAAATTGAGAGCTAAATTTGGCCTCGCGCTATTGTTACAAAATTGATGTTTTGGGCGTTTCAGGCCAGGGTGAGGAAGAAAACTGATGGCTCAGAGACCAGGAGAGAACCTCCAGACCACCACAAGATGAAAAAAGTACCAACTTGCATCAATATTACCATGGTTCTCCCTGCTGTGTTTCTATTCGATTATTCTTCAAACACCAGATGCTATTCAGTATGTAATTAAGAGACAACAACATGCTTAAGTGGGATTACGTTGGGATAAATTTTGTTAGTCCCCTACCTCTGCCAGAGCAAACAAGGCAGACTGCTGACACAGGAAGGTGGGCCACGTTCCTCGGAATATCACCACTTGTTATGAAAGTCACAGCTTGGGTTTCTTACCAAGTTACTCTGCTTTGGCCCGCATCTCTTGCAGCAGCTCAGGGTTATTTCTGTTCTGAGCTCAAGCACTAGGCTATTCCCTGGTAGCTTCCAAGAAGACTAATCAGTATTTTGTTTTTCTATTTATTTTTCATGTAAATAAAAATATTGTTTGATATTTTCACAAAGTCCAATTCTGAAAACAACCACATTTTAAGCTTCTGCTGTGGGTCTGTAAAACTGTCACACGAGAAGAAAAAACACATACATGCAGATTTAAAAATCACGCAAAACAATCTAGAGCAGACAGCAAACTACATCTCCCTTCTTTGCGGAGTCTGACACTGCTCTGCCTCTGCTTTCCAGCTTTCATGATACGCATCCCACAGTAAATTTTTTTAATCAATTATCAGTGCAACAGCTAGGTGAAAAGCAGGTAACAACTGAATTCTAGACTACATTTCATAGTGGTGGTATACTGAATTGATAAATTGGTACAATTATTAACTGCAGGTTGAGATACTAAAATTAATTTTATTTTTGAGAGTTCCTTTTTTAACATCAACATTTTAAAATAAAATCTTTAATACTTATCTGAAAAAAAATGCAAGAACAAAACCATAATGGACTACAAAACTCTAACTATCCAAGCTATTTCTACAGCACCTATGTGTGCAATCCCAAATTAGAAGTACAGATGAATTCTAAAGACAAAAAGAACAAACATTATGAAAATTTTTTTTGTAAGGTATAGCTAGTACAG